AAGGGATATTACCCCATAACCATTATAACAAACCTTAGGTTTACTCTTTAACTTAAGTAATCATAAACAATCAGGTATGTTCTTTAACACATAATTTAGACATCGTCAAATAACTCACACAAAACATATATTTAATACATTCAAACAATACTTGTATTAAGATCATGTTCATGAAAGGGACTATGCACTCACTTCATAAGACAATTATCGGACATCACTACGGCTCTTAAAGTAGTATTCTTCGATGAAACCGAGATATCTTCACACACCGGGCTTCTTGTGGGTAAAGCTTCGGCTCGAAAACTCTTTTATTCTCGGGATCTTCGGTGCGTCGGCACTCGCATCGGGTGTCGGGATAATACCGGGCTTCGAAGGTACTTCAAGAGGGCTATAGAGGGTATCGGGAGTGAGAGAGTAAGAAAGTAGCAACCAAAATCAGTTGCCCTTCGATTTCTATTTATAGGGCCATTTTTCTGGATTCACGTCATGAATCTCAAATATTCACGTCGTGAGTTCAGTCATCATCAGGTGCATCATCGCAACTTGGGTCTGACAGGCTCTAGGAGACGTTATTACTAAGATCACGTCGTGAACCTAGTGTTCATGTCATGAACACTAACACAGGTGTCGGGGTTCGTGCCCCGAACTTCAAAAATTCATACCTTTCTCATACGAGCTCCATTTTCGACGTTCTTTATATGCACACGTAGGTGAGTTTATGTGCTACAAATCTCGTTTAGACTCCATCGGCTAATTTTGACTTTATTTTTATTATATTATTTTTAGTAGTCCGGGACAGGAAAACTCTGTTAGAAATTCATAACTTCTTAATCTGACGTCCGTTTTCGTCTGTCTTTTCACCGTTGCATGACTATCGCCAAGATCTTTGATTCTCGTTTAGATTTTTCGACTAGAAACCACTAAATCTCATATTCAAACTTTGAGCTGCATACTGCTAAGTTGGAACTTCGAAAAATCATAACTTCCTCATACGAAATCAAATTTAGACGTTCTTTTTATGCACGTTCTCGGTTTAGCGTATTCTACAAATTTAGTTTAGATTACTAAGACTAAATATCATTCTATCACAAATTCACTATTTACGTCCTACAACGTCATGCCGAATCTGTCGCGAAACTTTGACATGTCATAACTTCTTCGTTATAACTCAGATTTCAGCGTTATTTATATGTACGGAAACCTTGTGACATATACTATAACATGGTTAATATTATTTGTTCTAAATATTCTTCTATCAAAAAGTCATTTTTGACGCTTATCGTTTTTAAACTGACTAGCCCGGATGAAGAAGAAGTTTTTTTAAAGCAACCCCAAGGTTTGAAAGTGAAGAGTTTCCAAATCATGTGTATCGTCTTGATAAAGTTGTCTATGGTTTAAAGAAGGCACTTAGAGCATTGTATGACACTTTAACAAGCTATTTTCTTTCAAGTGGATACAAACGATAAAAGATTGATAACACTCTGTTCATCAAGATTTTAGGATCTCATATCATGTTTGCCCAAGTGTATGTTGATGATATCATTTTTGGATCCACTGATGAAAAGCTAAGTTTAGAATTTACGGAGATCATGGCTAAGAAGTTTGAGATGAGCATGATGTGTGAAGTAACCTTCTTTCAGGGTTTGTAAGTCAACAACTAACTAATGATATTTTTGTTTGCCAAGCTAAATATATTGCAGATATGCTGAAAAGGTATGGTTTTACTGATTGCAAGCTAGCAAAAACTCCAATATCCTCATCAACGTCTATTGGCGTTGATCCAAATGGCGCTGATGTGAATGAACTCTCTTTTGAGGAATAATATGATCTCAGGTATATCTTACTACCATTCTCCCTGACATTATCTTTGCTACTATATTGTGTGCTCGTTATCAAGCCAGTCCTAAGGAATCTTATTTACTCGTTGTGAAAAGAATCTTTCGTTACTTAAAGCATACACCCAATCTTGGGTTATGGTATCCTCATGATTCCGAGTTCAAGTTGGTGGGATACACTGACTCGGATCATGGTGGATGTGGCATTGATCGTAAAAGCACTTCAGAAGAAGCTCAAATGATTGGAGATAGATTGTAAGTTGATCTAGCAAAAAGCATATACCATTAGTTTGCTCTACCGTTGAAGCTGAATATGTAGCCGTTGGAAGGTGTTGTACATAGATTCTATGGATTTAAAATCAGCTCTTTAATTATGGTCTAAACTTCTCAAAGACTCCCATCTGCAGTGACAACCACCACTACAATTCAAATGATATAGAATCTAGTGCAACATTCCAAAACCAATCACATTGAAAAAATTCTTGTTTCTTGGTTTTGGTGCAATTCACAAGTCTACATCTATTTCCAAAGGAATTTAGTTTTTTATTTTTCATTTGCTAATGCATTATTGGAATCTAAACTACAATTTTGTTTTGTTTTCACAGAATTTGATGCATGAAGAACGGACCAAAAAAACTAAAAGTGATTCTAAGCAACATTATTTTTTAGAATGTATTAGTGTCGTTATTAGATTTGATGTTTTCTTTCCCGTTTTGAAAGGTTTTTTTAGTTTTATTCGTTAACAAAAAATGTAATTCTTAACAATTGTTACCCGTATTCTATAAGAAATAATGTATTTTTTGTTTTTATTAGTCAATTGATTGTTCAAGAATTTTTTTATTCTACAAGAAGTTTTTAAAATCATGATCAAGAAATAGTTCAACAATATTTTTATTATTTATGGTTCAAAAATATTTTATTTTCGAATATACTGATAAACATATTCTGTCAGAATGTCCGAATTAAAAGAATTATAATTCGTACAATCGGATTTTAAAATTAATAGAATCTATGATCTCTAAAAAAATGCAATTTTCCTTTATTAAATCTATATTAATTGACTAAATTACCCTTGTAGTTAATTAAGATGATATTTTTCGATTATATTTAATTTAATAATATATGTTAATCATTTTCTTAAAATAATTAAATTTGATTGGCCCGTTTATACATATAATAACACAATAATTACTTTGAATAGAAAAACCTAAGCCTCTATATATATATATATATATATATATATATATATATATATATATATATATATATATATATATATATATATATATATATATATATATAGTAACACACACGAATAGATATGGTGTAATTAATAAATCATTATCTAATAATTGTGTTAACATTGTGTGTTTAGTTCTTCATTTTCTATTTACAAAAAGTCACGATTATAAATAAAGACAAATCTTCGATAGAGTTGATTTACCAAATCTCTTTATTATAATAAAAGAATAGTTTTATTCTCCATTTGATATGTATCACCTTATTAGCTTTTTAATTAATATATATTTTATTTCTTTTTTATCATGTGTCATCCTATTATTTCTTCTAATTAATGCATGTCACTTGTCATTCTTCATTTTAAATTTCAAAATTTGAACTTTTCACCCTAATTAAGTTAAATTAATAACAATAGAATAAAAATTAATATAAATTATAAAATGATATATTTCACATATATATTTAAATCAATGATTATAATTCTATATAACTAAAAAAAATCTATTGATTACTAATATATTTAAAATAATTTATATAAAATAATTTATTTCAAATAATTGATTAATAATTTTAAGTTTTTACTATAAAAGTTTAATAAATTTTATAACCGTGATTTGTACGGGTTATAAATTAGTAATTAATAAAAAATATATTTTAATACTATTATATAGTTAAACATTAATCTAATAATAATATGTAATTATAATAATGAAAAAGGACATCGAAATTACAAAAAAAAATGTACGCAAAAAAATTAAACAAAAAGAAAATGAAAATGAGTGCAGCAAATATTTTGTTGGGGGGGGGGGGGTGGGGGGGTGAGGGGGGATTAATGTATATAGAATATCCTTAGAAACTGCCCATGCGGTTTATGGAAGGTTTATTTAACATTCAAGGTTATAAGATAAAAAAGTATTATAACATTCACAATTAATTAAAGGGAAAATTTCATATATGTCCTTCTTAAATATCAAAATATAAATATCATATTTACCCTTTATAAAATTTTAAATATCATATTTACCCTTCACAAAATTTCAAAATATCATATATGTCCTTTTTAAATATCAAAATATCATATATGCTCTTCTTAAATATCAAAATATCTTATATACACTCTTGAAACATCAAAACATTAATGGTAATATCTAATATCTGCAACATAATAATAATCAATAACAACAAAAAACTAAAGAATCAAAACATACATTCCATAAAAAGGATTGAAGATGAATCTTTTTGTCTATTAAGAAGCAGACATTCCAACAATTTAGAAGTTCACATTCAATTATTATAGACATAAGGATAATATTGTTAAATTTCTTAATTATTATAATAATTCTAAGATATAAAAAATGATTATAAAATATTAAAAACATTATAAAAAAAGATTTGGGCAAATATGATATTTTGAAAGTTTATGTAGGATAAATATGATATTAAGAAATAAAACCGAGCAAATATGATATTTTGAAGTTTAAGAGGGATATATATGAAATTCTCTCTTAATTAAAACAGTGATCATTATAGGGTTTTTTTTTTTTTTTTTTTTTTTTTTTTTTTTTTGTAAGAGAGAAAACAAAAAAAGGTTACAAGAGACTTATATTTACTCATAAGTTCCCATTATAAATGTTATCTTTTCCAAGATGAGACTTGAAATCTCAAGTGCATCTCACCACCAACTGAATTAGAATAAATTAAACAAAAGATTTTACTTTGAGAGACATTGGAATAACTAACCATCATCTAGAACTCGAGAGACCGACCAGATTTCATATCGATCCCATTCACTTCCTTGACTATTAAACGCTACATTTGTATTTTGTTGAATACGTAGGAGAAAATTGTGGCACATTTTACTAGTGTTTATGTTATCTTTTTTGGCTATAAATAGGAAGCCTTACTTTCTTTTTGTTCACCAAATTGAGAATACAACTTCACATATCATACTTAATTAGGCTTTTAAAAAGAGACATACCAAGGATGGGTTTGATGACAAGAGTTTTTTTCTTGATTGCCATGGTTGCATGCTTTGCTTCAGTTGCTCACGCCATTGCAGGCCAAGCAACGTTCTACACTCCTCCTTACGTGCGTAAGTACATATACATATACATCAAAGATACAAGTAAATTCATTTATGATCATACATGTAGCTTATTAATGTTGAGATTTTGAATGTTGTTTTATGTAGCATCATCATGTTTTGGCTTTGAAGATCGTGGTGTTATGATTCTAGCAGCAAACAGTGGTTTGTTTGCCAACAGAGCTGCATGTGGAACTAGGTACCGTGTTACTTGCACCGGTAGAACCAATGATGGTGTTCTGAACCCATGCACAGGCAGAAGCGTTGATGTAACTGTTGTAGATCTTTGTCCCGGATGTGCAGCAAATCAAGTTGACCTTTCCCGAGAGGCGTTTGCTGTGATTGCTAATACGGATGCGGGGAGAATTAACATTGAATATAACCGGTAATTATACATGTAACCTTTTCTCTTTGCTAAAACTTGTATATTTTTGTTTAACTTTTGACTGATTTTTACTTTCTTTGTGATTTTCAGGATCTGATTTAATAAAAATACGTATGCAATACGCCAATAATCAATTCTCTTCTGATCAGTTTGTTTTAAAATAAATGATACTCAAATGTATTTAATTAAGCATATGGGGATATGCTTGTATACGTCTCATGGCAATATATGTATGATGTATGGGCTGAATAAAATCTCTATGTTTCGTTATATTATTTTTTTACTCTTTTAAGGAGTTCAAGTATCGATACCTTATTCTGTTATTGATTGCATATTTTCTTCTTTATTTTTTAAGAGTAATAAATTACATGAATGGTCCCAATGGTTTCGGAGAATTTGTACATTTGGTCCTAACTTATTTTTTTAGATCGGTAGGTCTCTACTCTTTGTTTTTGTTGTGCGTTTGGTTCTGTGTTACCTGGAAAGACTATTTTGCTATTGATTTTTTAATTTATTTAAATAAATATCCCAACCCCACATCCACCTCATCTTACTTGATCTTAACTACTCCATTATATTTGAATAAATTAAAAAATCAAGATCAAAATGATTTTTTTTTTACCTGGAAAGACTATTTTGCTATTGATTTTTTAATTTATTTAAATAAATATTCCAACCCCACATCCATCTCATCTTACTTGATCTTAACTACTCCATCATATTTGAATAAATTAAAAAATCAAGATCAAAATGATTTTTTTTTTTATAATACAAAGACCAAACATGCAATAAAACAAACAATAAAAATCTTCCTAATTAAAAATAAGTTAGAAAATAAATGTACAAATTAGCTCAAACCATAAGTACCTATTCGTATAATTTACTATTTTTTAATGATATACCCAAATGAGTGTATTCTTTTTAACGGCTAACACACGTCGTATAATTTACTATTTTTTAATGATATACCCAAATGAGTGTATTCTTTTTAACGGCTAACACACGCTATAAGAATATACTCTTCAACAATATTTTTGTCCATTATTGGATTTGAATGCTAAAGGAACACATTTTCAAATATATAATACGCCTCTACTTTTTCTATCTTACAAAAGAAAATTATATTATATTACATAATAAAAAATAAGTGTCTTTTAAATAGTTACTGTTTCAGATTTAAAATTTTAGTCATGAGATTTTGCTAGGTTTGGTTTCTGTATAAAAAATAAATTACAAAATTGTTCGTAAAATATATCATATAATAAAAAAGCAAATGTCATCGGAGTTAAGGGTGAAATTGGTATGATACCGATTGTTTTTCTTTAAATTGTGTACTGTAACAATATAATTGCTATAAAAAATTTGCTACCAGTACCATACAAAGTATACTTGATACCAATATATTTGGCTACCAAAAAGTTTGATTCGTACAAATTGATAATGATATATATACCGATCTTTTTTAAAAGTCTATTGTAAGATTTTAAAATAAACAAATACACCGGGTAATTTTGATGTTTAGTAAAGAAATTAGTTACCACTACAAGAAGCCAATGTTGTAAAACTCGCCGAGTTTTCCGATTACTCCTGCAAGTACTCGCTACTCGCCCCCTTGCCGATGCAAATTGTAGAATCCCGAGTACTCTCCAATTGGCCTCTTACTGAACTGAGTGGTATTGTAAAACCTGATCAACTCGGTTATTAATATGTATAATATACTTAATGATTTATTGTTTAACACACATACATGTGATTATTACTACATATATATCTTAAATTTTCAACAATTATTCACGAAGTGAGACCGTTATGCGTTTTTCTGTTTTTGTGTATTCACATGTATCTAATTTTGTTATATATTTCAATCAACTTTTGATTTTAGCTTATGATTTTGACGTATATAATTTCCCTAAAAATATTTCTACATAAATTATCGAATCCGAGTACTCCTCGAGTACTCGCTACTCGGTAGTCGGCCGAACAGGTACCGAGTAACGAGTTTTATAACCTTGCAAGAAACAAGACTATTACCGACGACATTATTAGCAGAGATATAGACTATTAGCGGTGAATCAAGCCAGAGTCTGCGTGAAAAGCCTTTGTCACTGCTAATAATGTCGCCGACAATGGTCTTGAGGCAGGATTGGCACTAACACTTTCCAGGAAATCTTAACCGTTCGATCGACGATCTAATCCAACATATTCTCTGTGTTATCATCGATTCCGACAAAGAGACTCCCCAACATTGTGAGATTACCGATCAAAGGGGTTTAGGGCTTCAATTACTCCGGGAATTTGTCGTATGTATATCAAAATAGTGTATGTTTTTCATCATCAAGTGTTTTTTTGGTGTATTATTGGTGTACATATGTGCAAATATGTGTATTTTGTGTATTTGCGTGTATATAATATGTATATGAAAATATGTGTATTTTGTGTAAGTAGAATGCTATTATGTATATATGTGAAAGTAGGTATATGTGGTATAGGTATTTGAAAGTATGTGTATTTGATTATAGTAAAAATGTCTTTACGATATATGTATATATATATATATATATATATATATATATATATATATATATATATGTATTTATATATACTTTGTAGTTTCTGGTGTGCAATCTATAATATATGTTATAATGTATGCATATGTGTATTTATATATATTGTGTATTTTTTTATATGTGTGTGTATATATATATATATATATATATATATATATATATATATATATATATATATATATATATATATATATAAAAGGAAGGTTATTTTGAAAACAAAAGAAAACCCTAAAAATCATAAAAATGCATAAAAAATAATTAGAGATCACAAATCATTTTTTGACTTTATATATACAAAAATCGCAACTTTTTTAATAAAATGGCTGATTTTTTTTTAAACTATCAAAAAAGAAAATTTTCAAATTTTTTTTTTCAGCGAATTTGTTAATAAAGCTGCGATTTTTGTATATATAAAGTCAGAAAAAAAAAAATTGTGATCTCTAAGTATTTTTTATGCATCTTTATGATTTTTAGAGTTTTTTTTTTTTAAGAATTTCTTGTTTTCCATTGAACCTGAACATATATATATATATATATATATATATATATATATATATATATATATATATATATATATATATAAGGAAAAGTGAATATACCTTTAAGGGTATATAAGCTTAGATACCCAAACACATAATACTACGTCGTTTTGTATCATATATATACATTAGAATTGTCCAATGTTCTTATAATTCAACTTATAACTTGATTTACTTCCATGATTTTTATAAATACAGTAATAATACACCAAAAAAACAATCTGTTACCTTGAGTTTCATTCTTCTAGATTCATTCTTGGTTGTGTATAACCTCCATTGATGAAGAATTAGAGCTTGGGAAGAGAAATTGAGAAGAAGAAGGTTGAAGATCAAGAGGCTAGCATCTGGATATCATTGTAGATCAGGGATCTACTCCTCCTTTGGATCATTTCTGAGGTAACAATCTGTTACCTTGAGTTTCCTTCTTCTAGATTCATTCTTGGTTGCTATTTTGGGGATTATGGCTTAAGTAGAATCAATTTCGAGTTTAGAAGCTAGATCTGAAGTTGAAACTTCAGATCCAAGCTTGTAATGATCCTATTTGTTGTAAAGCTTTTGTGCTAGAGTGGTTGGTGAAGTCCCTTTGCCTTAAGCCTTTGCCCTAGAGTATTTTAGGCTTATTTCCCCATGGTTTCACGTAAAGTTTGCACCTTTACGTGTAGGGAAGCTTGTGGGAGGTTGGATCTATGGATTGGAGTCACTGCATGGCTTGAAAGCCACTATATGGATTAAGAACTAGAGGTACTCGGCGAGTCACATGGGTGTACTCGGCGAGTTGGATGAAGACAGGCAGGAACTTGATGAGTTGGAAGAACAAATCGGCGAGTCTGTTGAAGATTTCCTTGGACTCGACGAGTCTAGTCGCGAAGTCCTAATCGTTTTGGTTGAGTTGTGAATCAGTGATTCGAGGGATGACTCGGTGAGTTGAGCAGGAGGTGACTCAGAGTTCGTGGGACTCGGCGAGTCTTGGGGCGACTCGACGAGTTGGGTCGTGATATGGGAGTTTTCACAGCATAGGGACTCGACGAGTCAGTCACGAAGTTTGACTGTGACTGAGGACTTTGACTTTGACCAAGAGTTGACCAGTTGACTTCCAGGGGTAATTTGGTAATTATTGGTATTTATTGAGTTTAGTCTTTTGGTATTATCAGTGGTGGAGTTCGTGTCGGAGGTTGGAGCAGCGTGATCTTATCTTTTCAGTCAGCAGTTGCGAGGTGAGTTATCCTCACTATATCGACAGGGTCTAAAGCACCAAGGCCGACCCTTTATCGGATTGTAATCCATGTATTGTTGTTATGTTATTGCTTTGCTATGTTTGCATCCTGGTAGTTAGGATGGTATATGTTAGTGACCAGTTAGGTCAATATCTTGTTTAGAGTATGCTATGTATGTGATATGCTAGATCGCTTGACTGATGATTTATTGTTATGTGGTTATATGTTTATGTGCACATGGTTGGTTTACTGGGGTTGGGTTGAGGCGGGTCCTACTTTTTGATGTAGGCCTACATACCCAGGGCGGACCGGATATTTCGAAGGCCCAACGAGCGATCTGAATAGACTGTAGGCCCCACGAGGGCGGACGAGTGGACCAGGCCGACTGAAGGCCTGGTGCGGGCGGACCATTCATACTGTAGACTCAGAGAGTGGACCAGGTGGGTTGAAGGCCTGGTGCGGCGGACCAACCACACTCCAAACTCGATGGATATGGCTGTACTCGGAGGGTGGACCAGGTGGACTGAAGGCCCGGTGCAGCGGACCAGTCATATAGTAGACCCAAAGTGCATGGATGTTATGTTCTGTTATGATATGTTATGTGTATGGTATATGTGGTTGGTATTTTAGGGGTATCTCACTAAGCTTTCGGGCTTATAGTTGTGGTTTAATGTTTTCAGGTACTTTAGGAGACCGTGGCAAGGCGAAGGCATGATCATATCGCTCCTCATGTTCTGTTTTATGATATGGTTCTGGGAATACTCTGATAATAATTGTAATGAAAACCTTTTTTATAAAGAATTAATGTTAAATGGTTGTTTTTGAAAAGTTTAAATTGGCTTGAATTTTATGGATGTTACATTGCTTCTGAGATTACTTTGCAAAAGATATTCTTCTTCAATTCTTCTTTCACCTCTTTATAACAAAAAGGTGTCTTCTTCTTCAATCCTTCTGTAACATTTGCAAAAATTTAAGTTTTATTGCAGCAGATTAAAAAAAAATGTACTGTTAAATTAGTTATTGTTATCTTATTTCACAATTTCTTTACAAAAATGCCAATTTGTTTTACAAAAACTTCTATAGGGACCAATTTTGTAACATTTGTAGGAATTTGAGTTATTTCCATATTAATGTAGAGATTCTATATGCCATATCATATTTTCAGAATAAAATTTATTTGCAGAATAAAATTTGAGTTACTCGACAAGAAACCCAAATTCAAGGTATGGACATTTTTTTTGTTCAGTTTGGTTTTATAACAATATTTTTATTTCCTCGGCAATTTGTATTCGATTTATTTTGATAGCAATGCATCCCGATAACCATACAACACTTTAATCCATCTCTGATACTTTAATTATCTCTATTTTTTGTTTCTACTCTCTACATTTCTTTCATATTTCATTATAGGATTATTAAGACAGTAAAATCCATCGTTGATTGAAAATGAATATGTTTGAATTTATAAATGGTTTAGTTGCAGATGATAGAGCATCAATTTTTTAATTTTACAATTTTTTTAACATATGGGATTCAATAAATATGCAAATTGGTTCGTATGTTTTGATTCAAAAGAGGTTGTTAGTCTGGAAAATATTTTGAAACCTTTATAATAATGTACTTTACAATTCATAACTTTTCATGTGTTTCTATTCAAATTTCTTTAGTCTGGAAAGTATTTTGAAACCTTTATAGCAATGTACCTTAAGAATAAATCATATGTTTTATCGATGATAGACTAATTTCATTGTCATATAATTAATGTTGCGATTTTAATTTTTATAAGATTACTTTGATTTTTTAATTTTTAACATCTTTGTATCTTTATTTTGGGAAATTTATACTATTGCATTATATTTTAATTTCCAGTTTGTGTCTTTATTTCTGTACATTAGGTGATTGTATTGTATTATATTTTTAACCCAGATTGAAGGTATAGAAAGTATTTTGACAATAATTGTTTTCTATACACCTATTAATAAACTTATCAAAAGGAGGGCAAATTCGTAAATTTGCATGTTCCCCCTCCTTCCTATCGGTTATAGCAATGTACTTTAAAAATAAATCATATGTCATATCTTATAGATAGAAACAATTAAGAAAATCAAAAATTATACACTTTCATATTTTTTTTAGAAAAAGTTAAATATTGTCATTTTTAATTAATAATGAAAGCATCAACATATACATAAATTGTCTATTTGTAGACGCCCTATTTTAAAAAATATTTAAAAATTTAAATTTATAAATGAGTTTTTTAATTCCTCAATATATAGATTAACTGACCTCTCTTTAAGGTGGCTCACCACTAAAAAAGGTCATGGCAACTCCAGTAAGTGAGATAGTAATCAAGGCTCCAACAAGACCTATTCCAGCCCACAAAAGCCATCCTTTTTAAAAATCAAAAGGATTCCTCCAATCTGGAAAATTAATTTGATAAAATGTCAATAAGTTTGTAACAAAAAACAATATGTTTTGAGTTATGAGTTATTACTTATGACTGATAAAATGATAACTAATTAATTACCATAGCTATACAAGTCTTTTTGTCCACTTCTGTTGGTGACACAATAAAGTGTTGCAAGTAAAATAGTTCCGGTGAAACCACGAGGCAACATTTCATCTCCTTCGCACCTTATTGACAGGAGTAGAAGAAGAGCAGCCTCGCTGCTTCGTCCTTACCCCTTCGGTTTACTACTGGGACGAAGAGATCAACCACACGGAGGTCGCGGTAGATTGACTGCTCCCTATTTGCGATAGATTACCACCACCAAGCCACTTCCTACTTTCAGTTGTATTTCTTCTTCTCGGACGAACTGAGGACCGAAGACCTCCCCCCCCCCTCTCTCTCTCGACGCCCACCTTCCCCCATTCTCTTTCGCATCTTACAACCAAAGCAGAAAGGAAGTAGCCTCGCTGCTTCTTCCCTTTTCTGTGGACCATTCGAACATCGAAGGTGCTTACCTCCTCACAGCTTCACCCACTAATAATCGACAACAGCTTGCTGCTTCGTTCTTCTTCTTCCTTCGGTCCAACGAAACCCTAGAGATCCTCCCCCTGCTTCTTTTCCCGATCGAACGCCATCGGAGCCCTTTCTTCGATCGGTTTTTTCTTTTTCTCAAATTGATGAAAACAGAGACATGACCCCCTTTTCCCCAATTTCAATTCTTGGTCTAATCGGCCATTTCAGCCCCTCCACTTTATTAATTTGACCAAAACAGTCCCCTATGGAAATTCTATACAAAATAAGCTCAAATCTCAAACATCGATTCTCTTAAACCATTTCAGCCCCTCTTTTGGAATTAGATTACAAAATCATTTTTTACTTCGTTTTATATGTTTTGTAACAATAATATTTTTTACAACTTTAATTATATGTCGTTTTACATGTGCTTTCACACTAAAAATCGGGGTTTTAAATAACTCCATTTATAATTAAATACTTAGTATTTACCGTATAATTAAACACGTACAAATGATAAAGTTATTAAAATAGATAATAGGGATAATGACTTGAAAGGGTAACGAACTTTTGACTTTTGTTACATTTAGTCACTAAACTTTTTTTCGTTATTTATTTGCCATTGAACTATTGAAACTGTTCACATTTTACCCTTATGACCGGCTGTTACCGGTCATAAGGGTAAAATGTGAACAGTTTCAATAGTTTAGTGGCAAATAGATAACGAAAAAAAGTTTAGTGACTAAATGTGAACAAAATCGAAAGTTTGTTTCCCTCTAAAAAGTTCAATGACTAAATGTGAACAAACTTCCTATTGTATTATGTTTTAGCAAAATTATTTATTTTCGTTTAATTGTAGCAACATTTGTTGATGAAGAAATTTATGAAATAAAAAAACAAAATGCAACATCCGGATTTCCAGGTATCATAATTTAAGTATTTTTCTTTTGAGTTAAGAAGAGAGACTTGGCGAGTTGACGCCTCAACTCGTCGAGTAAGGTCGCGACTGATGACTCGGATTAATGAATGGACTCGACAAGTCGGTGAGGCGACTCGACGAGTCTGCGCTGTTGGCAGAAACCCTAAATCTTTGGGCCCGAGCCATATTTAAAGGCACGTATGGCCTTCAATTGCCACTACATTTCCAATAAGTGAGAACCCTAGCGAGCTTGAGTGTGTAGAGTGAGAGGAAGAGCTATCTTGAGCTTTTTGGTGTGATAGATCTGGACCCTTCTAGGTTCAGAGAGCCAAGAATATGAAGCTTTAGTAGAGTAAACCTTGGGGTTCGAAGTTAGGAAGCATTTATGGGATTTTTATGGTAGATATAGTTACTTTCATCTTACACATAGATATGAAGTATTTTATATAAATTACGTGTTATGTGTGCATATTATTTGAATACTTGTTGTCCATGCTGGATGAACGATTTTATACATGTTTTAAATGATTTAAACGGTATATTTATTTTATATCTACAAATATGTTGCGGATGAAACATGGGTAGATGAAATAGTTGGTGTGTGATGAAATAAAATGATTAATATATGTGATGATAGAAAGGTGATGATAATTAGGTATATAGATGATGATGAATATGTGATGTAGGATGAAAGGAGATACCATAACCTTAACCAGCAATGTGGCGATGTAGTCATCTACCAAAGTATAGATAGCGATCACGGACTATTCTAGACAACACAGTGGAAACACCAGCATGCCCATAACCTGTAGGTGATGAATTACGAGTTCAAGCGATGTTGTAACTATGTATTCATGCGATGATACTCTAACCCCTTACTATGAATTACGAGTTCAGACGATGTTGTAACTACATATTCATGGGATGTCACAAATTTCGAATGCCAAACCAATGGTCATAATTCACATCAGTGAGAATGGTTCATTTTTTTGTAAAACCAAAATCAGATTGGAAATTTTGATTTTTTATTTTGGAAAATGTCAAACCATTGGTTTTGTATTTCGGTTTTGGTTTTTTGTTTTTTTTAAATATATTTTCAGGGTTTTGTTTTGTTTTGTGTTTTGTTGTTTTTTTTTTTTTTTTCTATTTCATAGATTTCTTCATCAACAAATGTTGCTACAATTTAATAAAAATAAATAATTTGCTAAAACATAATACAAGAGGAAGTTTGTTCACATTTAGTCATTTAACTTTTTAGAGGGTAACGAACTTTCGACTTTTGTCACATTTAGTCACTAAACTTTTTTTCGTTATCTATTTGTCATTGAACTATTGAAACTGTTCACATTTTACCCTTATGACCGGCAACAGCCGGTCATAAGGGTAAAATGTGAACAATTTCAATAGTTCAATGGCAAATAGATAACGAAAAAAAGTTTAGTGACTAAATGTGACAAAAGTCGAAAGTTCGTTACCCTTTCAAGTTATTATCCCTAGATAATATTACAACTCATAAGTTTTCTAAATTAATGAAGTATTATTTTATTATATAATTAAATTTTAAATTTTATTTAAAATTAATATCCATAGGTTCCACAAGTTTTAACTTATTGTTGATATATACTTATACCAAATGCCGATTTAAAGGATATACATCTAACTTTTCTTTGACTTTGTCAACGACTTGTATTTGTTGAATAGGTAGGAGAAATTTCCGCACATCTTCCTGTTACTCTTCAAGTTACTTTTTTCAAATATAGAAGACGTAGAGACTTTTTCCTTCTGTTCACCAAATTAACTAGACAACTTCACATATCATACTTAGTGTTCCAAAAGAGTAAAACCAAATATGGGTTTGATTGCAAGAACTTTTTTCTTGATCGCCATGGTTGCATGCTTTGCTTCAGTTGCTCACGCCATTGTAGGCCAAGCAACTTTCTACACTCCTCCCTACGTGCGTAAGTACATATACATACATCAAAGATAAAAGTAAATTCATTTATGATCTTGCATGTAGCTTATTAATTTTGAGATTTTGAATAATGTTTTATGTAGCATCATCATGTTTTGGCTTTGAAGATCGTGGGGCTATGATTCTAGCAGCAAACAGTGGTTTGTTTGCCAACAGAGCTGCATGTGGAACTAGGTACCGTGTTACTTGCACCGGTAGAACCAATGATGGTGTTCTGAACCCATGCACAGGCAGAAGCGTTGATGTAACTGTTGTAGATCTTTGTCCCGGATGTGCAGCAAATCAAATTGACCTTTCCCAAGAGGCGTTTGCTGTGATTGCTAATACGGATGCAGGGAGAATTAACGTTGAATATAACCGGTAATTATACACGTAACCCTTTTCTCTTAGAGCATGGAGAGTCGAACTTTATAGAGATTGGTATAATTGTATGAAATACAAAATGATTATTGTAGAAATCTATTGAATTTTATGGAGTTCAATAGGCATAACGCCCTTATGAGTATATTTAATTTGTATACTTTTATTTGACTTTTGATAATTTTTTACTTTCTTTATGATTTTCAGGATGGGAATTAATGAAGTACGTATGCAATACGCTAAAATCAATTCTCTTATGATCAGTTTACTTTGAAATAAAAGACACTGAAAGGTATTTTAACTGTATGCTTCTATATAAGTATCATGGCAATGTATGAAGTATCGGTTGAAAAAAATTTCTACATTTAGTTATATGATTTCTGTTATACTTATTCAGTTATCGGCTCGTTTATCTGTTTGATTGCATATTTCGTTTCATTATTTTTTAATTATTTTTCGGAATGAGTCTTCCTTTTTCAATCCTGAAAAATGAAATATATGAGCATAAATAACAAGACATTATTCTTAGACACCTTATCTTAGATTTAATAAGAAAAGCCGAAAAGGAACACAAGAAGAATTGGGAATATTAGGGATGTCACTTTTTGCAAGACCAATAGCAGCGACACCAGACTAGACGCGCTTGGTGTCACTACTAAAACAACATCGTCGTCGCTAATAGAGGGGTCGCTAATGATATGCGCTGGAGATCCGTCGGAGACACTCCCCTTTCAATCCTGACCCTTAGTTCGGCACATAATCAAACGGATAGGGTTTGTTCCTGTGGAAGGCAATAGAGACGACGCTTTTAGCAGCGACATGTCGCCGCTGTAGGTGTCGATCCGTTGACCAACCTTGGACCAAATTCTGGCCCTACGATTCTCATCCGATCCAACGGTTGGTGATCCCCAAAAAGGGTGCGTTCAGTTCCCTCCAGTATGTTGTCGCTAATAGCCCCTTTGTGGCCGCCATTAGGGTCGCCCCTTTTATTCAACTTCGTCTTACCAGACTCCATTTCCATTTCTTTTGTACCTGCAATTACGAACGTATCTCCGCTAAACGATCTCTCCGACGACGATTTGCGACGTCACCGGTAACAACTCCCAAAGATCTCATGATAAAACAACATCAGAGTACAACTCCCAAAGATCTCATTTCCAGAAATTCATATTGTGATGCGTTGCGATCATGCCGACTCCTTTCTTTTCGAAGAAGAAGTTGTAACATCCCAAAAATACCACCCCAAAATTTTTGTTTGAAAACTCTACTAAACCATAATATCAAATATCAAAACATAAATACCATGAACCGTGTATCTCAAAATGTCATAATAAATTTATCAAATCAAAACTAGTGTCAAGATCATATCAAAATATCAGAGTCTAACTCCCAGGCTAAACTGTGGTGTGAGCCATGCCATCAACCTGAGCCCTTCCCTTTGGTAGTTGAACTACCTGAGTCAAAAACTGAAACTGTAAGCACGAAGCTTAGTGAGCTCCCCCAAACTACCACATATCATACAATAACATATAAGCACATATTGGGCCTTGCCCACTGCATCGGACCGAAGTCCGGGACTGACTAGGGCCTCGCCCACTGCATCCGACTGAAGTCCGGAACTGCATCGAACCGAAGTCCGGAACTAACTAGGGCCTCGCCCACTGCATTGGATCGAAGTCTGGAACTGCATCACATAACATGCATGTATCACAAAGACATCAAGCATACTGAACTACTGCATCGGACCACAGTCCAGAACTACTGCTATCTAAACGTGTCGGCATTGCTGCTGTATACCCGTTCCTACAGGAAGGAAGACTCACCTCCTAATGTTGTCTGCTGAAACGCTGATCGGGAACTGTCTGACTACTGCTCCGGTAACTCCCCAACTACAATTCCCGAAATACACTTAATCAAACACTGATAATTAATCTTAGGGTAAAATGATGATTTTACCCCCGTTCAAAGTCAACTCGTTGACCTGACTTGCCGAGTTGGGCAGCCAACTCATCGAGTCGCTAACTTTCCTTCTACTTCCTTACCCGACCCTACTCGCAAAGTTTAGCCACAACTCAACGAGTTCCCTTCGTTATTGCTATCATGCCAACCTTCATCCGACTCGCCGAGTTGTATGATCAACTCATCGAGTTTACCTTCATCATAAGAACATGTGTAGACTATGACTCGCCGAGTTGTATGAACAACTCATCGAGTCTGTTCTTACGGGTAAGGAGATTTCCTTGGACTCGCCGAGTCAGGGCGTAGACTCGCTGAGTCCCTCTAGACTCAGATCCATGACTTAACTCACTGAGTCCTTACTCCACTCTTTAAACAGACTTGCTACTACTGAACTGGGAATCAAGGACTTGCGACCTGACTCGCCGAGTCCTTTGCATGTAGTTTCTATTCAGTTGATTCTAATCAGCTTTGGTGCATCCAATACATATATCTGGGTTTCTGGGACTAGCTGAACACGTAAAGTTGCTTACTCTACGTATATCTAAGAGCCAATGAAGCAAATACACACAAACTTGGTTATTATGGTAGGTTACTTGACTAGAACAAGGCCATGGCTATCAAAAGGTGGCCTTCTTGAGCTTCTGGAGTTCAAGAGAGGCTAGATCTGAAATATGGCTTGATTACAAAGCTTCATCACTAGCGGTTTGGGGTTTTTGAGCTCAAAACCATCAATTTGGGGGACAAACTAGATCTATTAATACAATAATAGAGATAAAATCTTTATTACCAGAAAGGATGGCCCAAGAGGAGTGTAATCTGGATCTACTTCTTTTTCCTTAAGTTCTTCCACCTTCTCCTTCTTCTTCTTGCTCAACAATGCACCAAAAATTCCTTCACAAGGGCAAAGATCACTCATACGTATTTCAAGGAGGCTAGGGTTTTGAAAATAAGTCTCTAAGAGGTGAAGGAGGCTAGTTTGGGGCTATAATGACGTTTAAGTAGGGTACACACCCTGAAAATTAGGGCTTCATCCAGACTGGAGGACTCGTCGAGTCCGGAATATGGACTCATCGAGTCGCCTTGCGAACTTCACGTGCTGACCCACTGCTACTCGATGAGTTAGGGCCACTGACTCGTCGATTAGCTTCTAAAATAAGAAGAAAACCAATATTTTAAATGTGTACCAGGAATGGGGTGTTACAAATCTCCCCCATTTATCTTAGACTTCGTCCTCGAAGTCTGCTGCTATTGAATCTGAAAATAACTCAGGGTAATGCTCCCTCATCTCCTCATCGGTCTCCCATGTCTACTCTGAACCCTTCCGGTGCTGCCATTGCACCTTCACTAGCTGAATCACCTTGTTCCACAAGGTCTTAGTCTTCCAATCCAAGATCACAACTGGTCTCTCGATGTAATTTAGGCTGCTGTCAACCTAAATATCCTCCAATGGTACAACTGATGACTCATCCACCAAACACTTTCATAACTGACACACATGGAAAGTGTTGTGGATCTGGCTAAGCCTTGCGAGAAGATATAACCGATAAGCAACCTGAACCACCCAAGCCAAAACCCTAAAGGGTCCAATAAACCTGGGGCCCAACTTGCCACTCTTCCGGAACCTGATGACATCCTTCCAGGGTGACACTTTCAGGAGGACCATATCGCCTACCTGAAACTCCAAATCGAAACGCCTCCTATCAGCGTAACTCTTCTGCATACTCTGAGTAGTCTGGAGCCGGCTACGAACCTGTTGAATCAACTCCATGGTCTTAAGCATCACCACAGTGCTCCCCATGACTCTCTGATCGAACTTGCCCCAACAGATTAGGGTCCTACACTTTCTCTCGTAGAGCATATCAAAGGGAGGTCGGTCTATACTGGTGTGGTAACTATTTTTATACGAAGTATGTCCTCGAGAGTCTGAATCATCCTCTCGCTCTGCTCGTCCGTCTGAGGGAGGAAAGCGGTGCTGAAAAGGAGACGAGTCCTCATCTCGTCATGAAACCACTTCCAAAACCTAGAAGTGAACTGGACGTCTTGATATGATACTACCGAAATAGGCACTCCATGATGTGCCACAACCTCTCCCACATAAATATCGGCTAACTTCTCGACCGAAATGCTCTACTTGATCGGTACGAAATGTGCACTCTTGGTCAACCGATCCACTATGACCCAAATCGAATCAACTCCACGTGCAGTCCTGGGAAGCTTAGTAACAAAATCCATGGTGATATCCTCCCATTTCCACACGGGAATGTCTAACGGCTGCATCCTGTCTTGGGGTCTCTGGTGCTTTGCCTTGACCTTCCTACAGGTCAAGCATCTCTCCACGTACCAAGCTATGTCTCGCTTCATGTAGTGCCACCAATAATCGGATCGAAGATCTCTGTACATTTTCGTTGCCTCTGGGTGGATGGAGAATCGAGACTTGTGGGCCTCATCCATCAACACCTAACATACTCCTCCCCAGTACGGCACCCAAACTCTCCCGTGAAGGGTCAACAATCCTCGATGGTCATAATTGAGAGAAGCTACTCGGCCCATCATCCTCTTACACTTCTGCCTCTCCTCCTTTAGGCCCTTAACCTGCACCTCTCTAATATGCTCCAACAACGGAGTAATCACTGTCATCCTCAGATATATATCCCTGATCGGGGCCGCCATCACCTTGTGGCTCAGGGCATCGACCACTACATTGGCCTTGCCCGGATGGTAAATGATATCACAATCATAGTCCTTAACCACATCTAACCACCAACGCTGCCTCATGTTTAGATTCGGATGATCCATGAGGTACCTCAGGCTCTTGTGATCTGTGTAAATGGTACAACGGACTCCATAGAGGTAATGTATCCAAATCTTTAGGGCAAACACCACTTCCCCCAGCTCTAAGTCGTGCGTCGGATAGTTAGCTTCGTGAGGCTTCAACTTTCTAGAGGCATACGCTATCACATGCCCTCGCTGCATCAACACTGCTCCCATACCTGTGATCAAGCTTCAAAGTAGGCTACGAAGTTATCCATTCCCTCTGGCAGGGTAAGAATTGGTGCCTCACACAAGCTATTTCTGAGGGTCTCAAATACTGCTTGCTGCTCAGGCCTTCAACAAAATGTTACCGACTTCCTGGTCAGTCGAGTGAGCGGAAATGCCATCTTGGAGAAATCTTGGATGAATCTTCTGTAGTACCTTGCCAACCCAAGGAAACTTCGAATCTCAGATGGAGACCTCGAGACCTCCCACTGCATCATGGCCTCTATCTTAGCTGGATCTACTAATATACCCTTCTGGTTGACGAAGTGCCCAAGGAACTACACCTCACGCAACCAGAACTCACACTTGGAGAACTTCGCGAATATTTTCTCCCTCCTCAGTGTCTCTAACACCTTTCTCAGGTTCTCCTCGTGCCGTTCCTAATTTTTGGAATGCACCAAGATGTCATTGATGAACAC